TCTGAGGATGCGGAGGTGTCATCATCGATCAAATCATCTTTATCAACGAAATTCGAAGCTGAACTTGAATTGGACGAGGCACACAAAATCATCTTGAGCTCCGAAAATTGTCCAGACATGCTGTATATCATCCTGAGGCACACTAAGATATATCTATCATTAATAGTTAAAAGTAGCACGAATAATCTTCATAATCTTATTAGCCACAATTCCAATGTTTTCATACTAAATAATAAATATATCAGAAATCAATATTCTGCATGAAAATATTTTTGTAAGGAACAAAAAATTATGAAAAAAGGAAACAACTTTTAAGAATTATTGTACCTGTTCAAAGACTCTTGAAGTTGATGAACTCTCTTTTCGGTTTCTTCCAATTTGTGACGCTTTAATTCTCCTGATTTCAAGGCTTCTGCGTACTGCTTTTCCAAATCATCGCCTCGTTTTCTTTCGCATTGTAACAAGTTCTGTTGTATTTTTTTTTTTTTAAAAAAGAAAGTGCATCACTTAAATTTTCCATTTTCAAATACAATCCCGAACCCCATCAAAATCCCCTGACCTATTAAGCTCATTTACGACTTAAAAAATTTATTTTGTACATCCTCTTTTATGCTTTCTAAAAAGTATTTTTGTGTCCTAATGATAAACAGTAAAGTGTCAGTATTCTAGGCCGTCTTCTGACCTGTCCTCCCACTTTTTCAACTGTTGGTTGTTTCATTCAACTAGGGGAAAGAGGCTGTGTATTCGCACATTTGTGCATTTTGATTTATAATATTTTCCACCGTTTCGGAAAAAAAAAAAAAGAGAGAGAGAGATAAACACTGAAGTGTCTCGCTTTGATCCATGAGGCTCGATAGGAATTAGTACCCCTACAATAGCTTAACATTGAGAGGGAAAAATCAATCTTTCAAATGTTACCTTCAAATTTTTCACTTCAATAGTGAGAGCCGCAATCTTATTGGTACCGTCACCTGCCCCTTGTGTCTCTTTAAAAATCGAGGAGACCTCTTCAATTGATCTCTGGGCTGCCTCGCGTTCTTTACGAAAAAGAGCACTTGCCTCTTCCACTCTAATTTCCAATTCAGCCTGCCACAAGATATTATCAATTTCGGTAAAACTGTAGCATAAACGCATACCACATGTCCCATCTTTCCTCGAGAAGTTGATTGAAAAATGTTTGCACAATCAAAAAATAAAACATTCAAGAATATGACGACAATAGTTGAAGCGATGTTATTGAGTAAAATCTTGGCGTGGTGTTATCGACAACTGAAAAATGAGAGCGAAGGATTTGCCTTTTCTTTTATGGTTAAACAAATAACAACAATAATAATAATAACAACAACAAATACAAGATTCACAAGAAATCACATGTGGGGGCAAACAAAATCACTTTAAAAAATTAGACAAGAATTTTTCACAAGCAACCATGGCCAAAACATTAGCTTTCAAGAAGTAAAAAAGCATAGGAAGTTACCCTCAGTTGTCTTTCCAGCTGTAACCGTAACTTCAAGTCTTCTACTTGCTTCTCGGGTGTATTTTCTGGAAGGGCACCTGATTCTCTTGCACACTGCAAAATTTTCACAGGCAATTATCCAAGATGAAGGAGATTAATGGTTTTTTCACTTCGTATGGTAAAATCTATTCCTCCCAACCAATTTGAGCGAAGATACAAAGAACCATTTGAATGAACTCATTAGGATTAATAACCATCAGCGATTGATTGTTATAAAACACATATATTAATAAAAGACAGCTAGTTTCTTTTTTTCCAAATTAGACTCAATTAGTAAGTGTTCATTAACAAAACACATACTAAAAGGGTATTTCTAAGTTCAATAGATAGCTGGCTTCTTTCTCCCAAAATTACACTAAGTTACATGGGTATTTTCTGTACTCAGCCATAATAATATAAAGTTCGCGCATAACGAGAAAACTGTGGGGCCTACCAATTTCATCTTCCGCAGCATCCTCCTTGCAACCATTACCCTCCATCCACATTGGATCACAATCGCTGCCTTAATGTGTTTCTTATAGAGTACAAATGCTCTATGACCTCGCCAGCAGGCCTAAAAAAATAAATGTTCTTCGTTAAGGGTAAAAAAATATATTGGGTAAAATTGGAAAGCTTGCAGATAATAATAGTGAAAATAAATAAATGACCTGTATAACAGTTGCTTTTTTTCTCTGTCTCCTAAACGTGTTATGAACAGTCATAGCTCTCATGGCCGACTGCAGTATAATAACTGCATGCTTGAGTTTGATGTACCTCTTCCTGTCCATGTGCCTTCTAGCATGTGTCTGGATTTTAACCGAAGCTGACTCCCTTTTCATATACTCGTAAAACTTGCGAGCAATAATTCCTGTGAGCCATGTAAAAGAAGGTGAACGTTGGTGCTCGCGGTTCAGCCTTTAACCTCGACCTAAAACCAAATTGTACTTCTACTCAACTTTATATATGATATGTATTAAAAAAACTGTCTTTTTTCAATTATTTCCCTCACAAAACTGAAAAAGAAAAAAAAAAGGAATTTATTTCTAGAACAAATAGAAATTGAGGAACGGCATAGCCTCAAGAGGGGAAAAAACAAAGAAGAAAGAGGTTTCAATTTTCAAGCCAAATGATTAATTTGCTTATAAATGACAGCAGGCATGCATGAAGTAAGCTTCAAAACTAAAACATTTACAAGTTCCAAGGAGCCTTTAAATGAACAGGTTGGCCCTTATAATATAGTCGAAGAATGGACAAGTTGAAAGGTATTTTACAAACCTCTGCATGTAGATTGGATGAAAATCGCTGCTTTATGCATGGAAACAAAGTTTTTAAGAGCAAAATGACCCCTTGTCTTTGTTTGTATTTTCTTTACTGCATTACTAACTTTTATCGATCTGCAGGCATCTAATTCAGCCATTTGACCAGCTCTCAGGAAGACCTTAGTTTTCCCTATCTGCAATGACAAGTATACATACGTAGAAAGACCAAGGAAGAAAACAGATGAGGCAAAATGTAAAATTACATGACATTTTTCAAGTTGATATTGATTGTGAAGACTAGCTGGGAGAGTGCTGGGCGTATAAGATAAACGAAATTAACTATTATTAGTTCTACATCATAAAACAGAGTACTTAAAACACAGTTTCTCTCTTAAAGCAGAAACATATAATGGTAAGGTGCTTGTAATTTTGAATGATTAGATTGGATTTTTCATAACTAGGGTAAAACCTTGAGGGTATTCGCAATATTATTTGAATAAGCTTGGAGTAGAAGAATAAGTTGCAATTATAATACTAATACATTTAAATTATTAATTCGAAATCGGGATGAGAACACAATACCTCAGCCCCAGTAAGACCCATCTTCTCCAAAAAATTGATGCATGCAACTCTTTCATCCACACTTACAACATTTGTTATAAAAAAGGAAGCGTTAGAAATTATTAGATATTAAAATCGGATCACAAAGATAATCCATATAAGCACTTACTCTCCATCGAAGATTTCAGGAGCTAGAACACCAAACCGTCCAATAAATTCTTGGAATGTCTTATGAGTAGGGTATCCGGAACAACTAATTCTAATCGCCTCTAAAACACCCTGCTCATATATGAAACATCAACATGATTCAATAATAACAAAAGTGACCCTGATAGTACGGTTAATTAAAAAGAAACTACCAGGATTTTAAAAAACCACAAAGGTTAATTTTGCATTAAACAGGGCAGCCTTACCTTTGTTAAAAACATTACAAGACTCCACTTACATTATAACAAAGAGATTAACCTCAAGGGAGCTTTTGTAATGTCTGAATTTCTTCTTCTTCTTCTTTTTTTTTTTTTTTTCTTTTTTTCCTTTTTTTTATGATGAACAAAACTGAAGGGTATATATATTGTAATTACATTAATTAATTTATGGAAAATGTACTCACACCACATCGGAGTTGCTGCATGACATTCGCATTCTCGAAAATAGCAGGCTTAAAAAGATTATTAGGTTTCACGCATCTTATGTAGTGAGGTTCTGTAGAATTCAGAGTCTCCATCAGTTGTTGGAGTTGTAGCTGCAAAAATTAAGTCTGTGAAGTTTGGTTACTATAAATGGAATATTTTGAAAAAGTAAGGAAAGAAAAATAACCTTAAACCGGGAACCTATTGATGAGAATTTAGAGGACTTGCTTGAAGATTTGGTCATCTCTTCAGGAAGTGGAGGAAACAGTGCTTTTACAAATGGGCACTTAGAAGCAGTTAACAGATCTTGATGTTCGGCAACAACATAATCTTTGTTTTTATCCAAAAACTGGTTGGATTGGTATTGAACCTATGATGGAAAGGTAGAAATTTCCAAAAATTAAGAATTGCACACCTAATTGATGATGATAAACGATACCCAGAAATTTTTTACCTCTCCAGCATAATGAGCAATTGTAAAATCGCTACGCGACAGTTTTGGTTTAACAAAACGCTTGTGGGATTTAAATGTCTGGTAAAGTTTTTCTGCGAATGTTCCATGTGTTGACCTCGGAAACATACTGGAACAGAACAAAAAGGGAAAAGAAAGAAAAAAAGAAAAAAAAAAGGTTGTTCCAAAGTCAGACAAAGAAGAGTAGACCAAATATTATTCTCAATCTACAGGTAGACACAACCATTATCCTACCAGGCCTCATCAAGAAGAGCTATGATCCCTCCAGGTTTCTGCAAAATCCAGACAAAAAATAGCAAATTACACAAAGATATTGCAAGGAAGCAGATATGTTTGCAACTCTAAAACAAATTCAGAATTTTGAAACAAAACTATGAAAGCACAATTAGCAGAAGGTGTCCAGTTTCTCCACCTAAAGAAAAATCAGTACAGAAACACATGCTGCTCTCAGAAAATAATATTACAAGTCGATACACAAGTCAGCTATCTAAAACAGGAGAAAAACAAACAAAAAGGATACAGTTAAAAAAATGTTTGTAATTATCTTGCTCCAGTCCTTGCAAATTAAGGTCACAGTCATGAACTGATTTCCAGCAAAAAGTACATACTGACATGAGCACACAACTACTACCTGAGCATGGACACTGAAAGAAACTAGAGCTACCTTTTCAATAAGATCCAGGATATCTTGGTTATCGACATATTCTATGTAACTCCAGTTAATATCTTCTTTCATGTATTCTTCTTGCTCCATCTTAAAAATATGCTGGCAAAGAAATGGAGGAAACAAATCAACATCATCTTACAGAACACAGATTAACAATCCACTGATAAACAATTCAAAGTGTATACCTGGTTAAAGTGTTGCTGTAGCTTTTCGTTGGTATAATTAATGCAAAACTGTTCAAAACTACACAAACATTTAGTTAGTTTCAGCCCCCATGGACAGTAGCCATTCATGACATATCCTTCGACCATTTTAAAGAAATCCTTACCTATTACTTTCAAAACTCTCAAATCCATATATATCAAGAACTCCAATCAGACACTTCGAATGGGGATCTTGCCCGATTGAGGAATTTATTTTGTCGACCAACCTACATATATTTGTAAAAACTTGCATTAAGTTGACTAACACAGGGGAAAACTAGCTACAAAATTTTCATGAATGCTACACAAAATAGCACCACACCAATCAAACAAGCGAGAATATATAGTCTTAGCCAAGCCATCCCTACTAACTACTGCACCATCAGGATCAAGACTTCTTTTTATAACTTCTTCTGGAGTCACCATCACACGCTTCAGTAATGCATCCTCCAGTGCATTAGGATCACACCTAATATTCCGAAAAATTTCACATTATTATTATAAGGCAAACATAATGGCTTGGAATATAAAATTATGAGAAACAAAGAATCATAGAAGAAATTACTCATGAAGCTTAATTACAGAAAACTCCTTCACTTTCCAAACTATTTATACCCATCCAAGGATTAAAAACACCCTTGAGACTTGAACGTACCTAATAAACACATCCTTACCTAGGGTATAATTTCTAATGAAAAACAGACGTCAAAGAGTGTTTCTAACTTTGAAAGATTAACTGGATATTTCTAAATAACTAGGCTACACTTAAGGGTTAGATTTTGTTCAATCAAACAGAAATAACACAAGTAAAAAGACTCCCAGTCATACATGAGAAGTTCTGCTGCAGTCTGAAGATGAAAGCTTGATTTGTCATCCTTAAGAAATGATGAGTCGCTTTCTTCCCCCTTAGCAAATTCAACATTGCCAAGATGGAGAATAGATGCGACTACTCTGAAAATTGCATCCTAAGAAAGTAAATACGAAATGATATAAGTAATTAATCAACTGTAGAATGAGAGCAGATGGCACTGGAAAAAAGGGAAAAGAAGGAAAAAGAAAGAAAGAAAAGAAGAGAAGAAAATAGAAAATGAGACTCTACCTGCTCGTTTTGACTTATGCCAACAACATCCATGGCCTTCCTTATAGCCAAATAATCATGAGCATCGCTTACCCCAACCAGTTCATGGCAATTGGACTGATTAAGATAGTGAAATGTTTTTGGATGCCCCAGCTTATATTTCTCAATTTCCTGGTAAGTGGTAAGACATAAAAATACTTAAATATGAAGTATATGACTTATGAAATGTCTGTCAGAGAGATAAGCTGAACAAAGTGAGAAAGCAGATTACCTCCTGGGGTGCCGAACACAGAAGATAGAAACAGTGATAATTACGTTCGGGGTCTGAAATTTGACAGACACGAGATCTCTCGAGAAGATATGTTCTAATGGCTGCCCCTGATATTCTTCCAAGAACATCAAATTGAATTTCAACAAATTTACCAAATCGGCTGCATCAATGCATCATCATAAATTAATTAGCAATTTATACAGATAGCTTTGACTTTTCATTATCAGCTTTATCCCAACAATTTTCACACCACTATTTTAGGAAAACTGCACCTTGAATTGTTATTCCGGACTGTTTTTGCATTTCCAAATGCTTCAAGAACTGGATTTGACTGCAGAGAACAATTCAATGAGCTTCCAATAAAGTTTACAGAAAAGAGATATTCATGAAAGATTCATGCAATGAATCGGTTTCTAGCATAAGGTCACAATATATACGAACTGTAAAGAGACATTCATAAAAAGAATTCATGCTACAAATATGTTTCTAGCTTAAGAAAGGCAACACAACTACATGGAGGAGCCAATAGGCAGAACCCCAAGCTTACTTCCAGCTATGCATTCAAAATTTTCCTTGATTTTGAATGACTTACAGCAACATGAACTTTCATCAACAGCTATGTATTTTTTAGGGGTATCCTTTAGAATGTTGACATATTGTTCTCTAATGCTTCATTTTCAAGCCCATTTTCATATTTCAACCCATGTTTATAGCAAAAGAAAGGTTGTACCTCAAGAACTTGTTGTTCTACTGTTCTCCCTTCAGCTCCTTTATGGCCACCCAAATGTGCAAGGTATTGCATAAGCATCTTAGTGGTTTCAGTCTTACCAGCACCACTTTCTCCACTCACCAATATCGAGTTGCTCTTTCCTTCATTAATCATTGCCCTATTGCATCTTCAAAAACTCAGACATGAACAGAATAACCCTAGAGGATTACTTACAAAAGCTATCCCTCAAGTTTGACCTGATTACCAATGTGCATTTCAATTTAACTTACAAATTGCACCCGCACGAGGGAGTTATATGTTAGGTATATACAAACCTCGAGGGGGTATTTGTTTGTAGTATTGGATAACTGGACTTTTTAACTAATCTACACCTCAGGGGTAGAATTATCCCTAATACTAATGGAAATTTTCAATAATCATGTAGGGTACACTATCACCTGTAAGCAACATCTGCAATGGCAAACACATGAGGGCTCAGTTGCCCTAAAGGTGTCCCCTTATACTGCTCCATCATGTGGAAATCATACAAATCAGGAACCCTTTGAAATGGATTGATAGCAATAAGAATGCTCCCAGTGTAAGTCTGCCATAATTTTTAAGTAAAATATTATGACCAGGATGACAGTAGTTAAAAAAAAATGAAACTATAACTGAAAAAAAATGAAACATCGTCTTACATAAATCTTATTAAGTTGGTATCTTGTTGACAGGTTATGCAAAACCCCAGGTTCATGCAAATAAGATAGTTTGGTCATGTCATCGACTCCATCAGGGGGTGCATCCTCATCTTTAACATGTATTTTGGATATATTAGCAACCACCTTGAAAATTGAATAAAAAAAAAGTGAACAGTGGACAATGTCAGAAACCTTCTAAAATTGAAAACAACTAAGCTTGTTTAGTACATGAATTCATTTTACAACAACCGTTTATTTCACAAGAATCTAACTGAACAAGAACATTCTAATCTGGTTTTATAAGATATAATAAATGACACCATTTAAGGAAGTGAAAATGGGTCAAAATGGCCACTGCTCTGCCTATACATCTTTTTAGACATCTCCAGATAGGATAATGAAAAGACGGCAGGAAATGACCATTTCACGACTGGTTTCCAACGTGAAACGATCACCTTTCATCAGGAAATGACCATCCCCTGTATGTAAATGGCCAAAAAGGATGTTCCTTATAGAAGTGTCTAGAGAAGATGTTCACTCTACAAAAATGGCTAAATATCTGGCGAACTGTTTAATGAACCAACATATTCAATGAGCAACACAAATTATCATTTTATAGATACTATGTTTTACCAATTCCCAAGCATAGAAAAATAACATAACGTAGCATCCATTTCCAGAACAACAGGTGAGACTGTTCAATTTGTCATCATAACATGCAGACTGCAAAACCTAACTAACCTTCTTTTCATCAGATGTTAGGACCTCAACTTCATTTTCTTTAATACTTTCTACTTGCCCATCAATCCATGTAATGTCTGGGTCTTCAACCCAAACATGAGAACCTACAATGATATTGACTGGGGTGCCCTGCATTTTAAGTTCATCGTATCTTTTAGAAAGTGCGCAAATACTACGAAGAGAAGAAATATTTATAAAACATGGCATCTAGAATACTGAATCACTTCTTGCTAAGAAAACATAAGCTCAACTTCGAGAAAACTACACTGAATAGTAGTTACAAGTTCATTTTGCTTCCGAAATGCTTTATACTTCTCGTCAAAACAAGAACTTCAAAATAAAGTTATTAGCATCTTCTATTAACTATGAAGGGAAATGTTTTCTCGTACATACGTTAACTTTTGTATCAGACACCAACATATATTTCTCATTGAGATAGAAAATAAAATCACCTTCCCAATAAAGAATGTTATAGAGCTTAAGCTTAACTCCTCGAGTTTGGGGCATGGTTTCTAAGCATGGACAGTCCATAATCCCCAACAAAATATGTTTAAAGCATATTATTGAGCTAAATCCTAAATTGTTTAAGAATGAAAACAATCAATGGAAATTGAACACAGCATAATCTATATAAACCATACCATCTTAATTCAAGAAAAACGAGAAGCGGCTACATCTGGTTCCGTCTCAGACGTCCCAATTGCTAACCCAATTTTCAAAAACCCAGGCAATAAATATCCCTACTTGCATTGAACAATCCTAAACTCGTGACATCTTTTTGCTCCAAAGGTATTCAAAAACCGCAATTTCTTTTGGGAGTCAGCAAAAGAACCCAATTGTTAACAAACAATCTTGAACTCAATTTGTGTTAACCCAGAGCACGAAGACGCCAGGTTCGTTTCAGAAAACCTGTAGAAATTGGACGCAATTTCTGTAGACCTAACCCGCGAAGCCTACTTTTGAAGGAAAGAATCCAAATCTCGATGAGGGTTCCCACAGAATCTAGAGACAACGGCGATAGAGGGCCAAAGCAAAAAAAAACTCCGGCGAATCGTACGGTGGGCCGGGACGTGGTGTGATTTTTCCGGTTTTGACGCGTGAAAAATGCGTGTAGTTTTTTTCGATGGCGATAAGATTAACGGCGGGATCAAGGTTTTCACGCTTGGTGCGTGGGAAAGGAATGGGTTTGTGGAGAGTATCGCCATTGTCATCTGCAAAGCAACCCTACGATTTCGGAGCAGTTGAATCCTTGTGTGGACAGTGTGCTCGTATTCGGGGTTCTTTTTGGCGGGGAGGAGAGAGAAATTGAATTTGAGGGAGCAATGTTATAAATTATAATATTGCTATGTACTTGTGCAATTTACAAACTAATAAAAAAAAATATTTTTAGTTACATAAAATAAAAATAAAAAAACGTATAACTTTTATAAATATAAAAATAATAATTAAATATTATATAATGAAAAAAGTATAAATAAAGCTGTTATTTTTCTCTTATATCAATAAACAAATATATATACCGAAATCAAATTTTAGTGAGATAGTATATTAATTATTTTACAGGTTAATCTATCATTCTCATATTTAATGTTCTGACTATTAAACTCTACTTTTTCTAAGTTTCGCGTTGATTGAAAAAGATGATATCATATTACTTTTTAGACTTAAACGGAAAGAGCATGTGAAAATAACTAATTTAGCATTTTTGTCTCGTGCACCGCACAGAGTACGTACTAATATAAGATAAAGATGCAAGACAATAAAATGGTATAATTATATGATAAACATCTTCGAACTTGAAACGAGTCGAGGTGAACACAAGCTCCAACCAATAAAATTATAAAATTAATATTAGAGCATCATAACAATGTGCCAATAACATAAACTCTGCGAGCATGCAAGATCTACCGGCCTAATGACTAGAGAGTACTTTATTGAGGCTTTGGTAAAACGAAAACCTCTGCATTTACCCACGAAGCATTAAAACATACGACATATAAATGATGGATAAACAATCAGAGCATCTTCTTACAGCCAAAAAAAAAAACAAAAAAACACACACACACACACACGCTCACAGCCCATATGTCAAAGTGAACATAAACATGTACCGAACACAAATCGACAGTCTACCTCCTTCCTTCCGTATGTATCCGAAACAATGCCCCCCTCAATCCTCATGCGCTGATCGAGTCAACGTTGCAAACTCAAATCCGTGTTTTTTGTTTCAATCATCTCTGAGCTTAGGGAGGTCTAATCCAAGGTAGCCTAGAATCCACAAGCACAAACTAAACCACACTAAAGCCGTCAAGCGAACAAAAGACTAAACAAATGGAGAATAACAGCCACACACACACACCGAAACAACACAACCACACTAACAACTCTGTCCATTTTCACTTGCCAGGTGAACTTTCTGTAACATAATCATCCAAAAAGTATGCTTAACCTGTTATTTTGAGAGGAAAAACAAAATAAAAATCAATAACCTCTCCATGAAACCCTCACAATACCCTTAGTAGTTTGAGTAACGAACTCAAATCTTAACACTTGAATTATCAAACCAAAACAGTATAAATTTTTTATTTATTTTTCTAAAAGAAAAAGAAACAAGGCTCGACCAATAAAGCAAGCAAGCACATTCGTGTTCTACTCAGCGCCTAATCCTCATTCCCTTGCTCAGGTTGTTCAAGCTGAACCTGCTGGCCTTTATCTCATACTTCACAATAAATTTTATAATATACAAATAGCAATGAAACAGTCCTCCAACTTTCATGAATTAGTCATATCCCAATTTTGTAACCTTGAGCAAAATATATGACAAACACATGCAAGACAATAAAATGATATAATCATATGATAAACAACGTCCTGAAACTTGAAACGAGTGGAGTCGAACACCAAGCTCCAACTAAACACATGGAACGGGCGTAGGCCACGGTGGATGTGTGAGAACAAAGGCCGCGAGACCCTCGTCGCGTATGGATTCTCGAATCTCCCCGAGCTTGCGACATTTGTCCTTTGAAACGGCACACTCGTAAACACTCTTTCCGCACACGACGAAAATCGAGTCACAATCTTTCGGATTAAAAGCGGCACCAACCAATGCATCCCTGTCATCGTCATCCGGAAAGCTCAACTCCCTTTGACCGACCAATGCCCACGAACAATCCCGACGGTCCAACTCCCAAACCCCCACGACGAAGCATTTCCGGCCCGGCCCGGCCTTCAAAACGTGCAACAACCTCAACTCGTCCCTCACAACTCCAAGGTGGGTCCTCGAGTTCGGCACCTCACTTGTGCTGTTACGCACAATGTCCGGGAAGTAAATAACGGAACAATGATTGTTGCCCACATCCAAAGAAACAACCCGGTCGCGTTTATATAAACCGTCCATCCAGTACAGAGTCCCATTGCACACAACAATATTCAAGTCAACGCTAACGTCGTTTACTGCACGCTTAGGCACCAAGATAGAAGATTTGGTCCATTGCCGTGACTCTGAGCAAAACACAAGCACTGGTAGTATGTAGCGGCCAACAGGAACTTCATACGATTCATGAGAACAAATAGGAAAGTCAAGTAATACCACCTTGTATGGCCCGTTAGAACCGGGCGTGCATATCAATGCAAAACCAGCCCTTTTTCCGTGAAGAGGATCCCTAGGAATGAGAAACCACTTTTTAGTCACCGGATTACAGATGTAATACCTCTGTGGATCATTTCCAAATCGATAACGGGAATCAGGTGACACAAGCAGCAAGTCGTTGCATGATGCCCTTACAACCATGAGCGTCGGCCCCATAAAATCGAGGTAGTTAGACGATGATGATAATGCATGCTTGCCATGGAGAAGCAAAGACTCCTTGGAGTAAAGAGTTGCAACCAATTGATAATACTCTGGGCAATCCCCACAGAAAAAATAATTCATGCGGAAAAGAATGGTATACGATTGATCCAAATCTCGATGGAGACGGGTGAACCTGGGGATGAATTGGGGTTGAGAGATCAATGCATGCCAATGCCGACAAACAGAGCTCAATCGAATAGCATATCGACAGTTGGAGAGTCTAAGGAAGATCTCCAACAATATGTCTTCATTGATACTCGACAAAAATCCTAATGCTCCATCACGGGGAACTTCAGTTCTCGTCCTCGCCCTTTTGTTGCGGCTGCTGCTGTCCTGATAAATGTACAGATACATAGTATATACACACTCATGAATCATGATTAAAATACAAACACAATTTAAAAATTGAATCAAACCTTACCTGTATCGTAGGATTGGGATCCAATTGAGGGGAGGACACCACAATAGCGGCGCTGAGAGGTAATCTATGAGATCCTGGAGAACATCCAGAGATTCCGTACACAGGATGATGCGATTCTATTACAAATCATCAATACATAAGTGAATCGAACATATACAAAAGATCATCGAGGATTTCGAGGAGACAGATATATATATATATATATATATACAAATATGTAAGAGTTGGATTGCAGTACTTGTGCTCGACATAATGCTCTAATCGCCTTCTTTCTTCCTCGACAGAAACAGACAGAACAGAGCGTTTATTTCGAGTTTTTTTTTTTTTTTCTTTTTCGAGTTTAAGACTTTAGAGATAAAACTTTTCTACGCAAATTAAAAACACCACTGCAATAATTATTATTATTAATATATATAATAGTGGGGATTTTAATTAAGTAACCTAGTCAAACTAGGAAATTGTTTAAATTAGTGACGTTTCTTACCCGACACATATTAATATATTCACGGTTTATGTGGCATTCACATGTATTTTTTTAAATATATTAACACTAGTACAATACCCGTGTATTACACGGGTGCTTGCTAATTTTTTTCTTAAAATTTAAAATTAATGAGAAAAAGTAGTTTGAAAATTTAAATACCTTTTATAAGAATATATATATATATATATATATATATATTATTATATATTTATTATGATACTTTTTAATTGTGCGACTTACTTGTGTTATATTATACTAATTTTTTAACTTACACTATATAACTTCATTAAATATAAATATATCAATTGAGAAATAATTTTATTTTTCTAATGAATTTTAATAAATATTATTATTTTTATTATTATAAAGATAAATATAATTTATTTATTTTATATATACAATATGGATGTCAAATCGAAGATCATCAAAAGATAATTAATTTGATATATTATATATGTAAAACCGATAAGAAATACAAAAGTTATCTACTTTTAAGATATATTTTTAATTCAATAGCTTATTCAAGGAAGCAAATCAAAATTTAGGGATATATTAGTCACTTAGTGTCTCATTATGTAAAATTACAAATAATTAAAAGGTTATATTAGTAAAAGTGATATTAAAATACCTAAGTTAGCTAAATAATATTTATGGAATACCCGAACCTAGATTATTAATCATTAATATATTATTATTTGTCCAAACTTAATTACGAAGCATGATTCTTCGCCAAATAGGATTCCGAAGCACCAGAAGCAGCCACGTAGGCTCAGCGCATTCTGGAATTATATATAGGGTGGATTAGCAATGTTTGTATGTCACATAAATGGTCGGCATATTGACATGTGTCCATTGTGGTAGGGGAGCATTAGTGTACCCTTTAAATTGTAAAATTGAAAACACCATGCTATAATAAATAATATATATATATATATATATATATAAATTTTGCTCAAGGTCACAATATTGGGATACGACTAATTTTATAAAAGTTGGAGGAATGTTTAATTGCTATTTGTATATCTATATATACTAAGGCTATGTTTGGTAAAATTAGCTGATAAGCTAGCTGATAGCTGATAAGCTAGCTTATAACTTATATATTCTTTAGTTGGTAATTTATAAATATATTATTTTAAAAAAAAAA